AGGAGAGTGACAGCTTTTAATAATTATTAAAGGAGTTTGCAAATGTGATATTGATTTAATACAACAGTTCAATAAACATGTACTGCCTGATTTTGCTCTATTTCATCAACGAAAATAGTTCCAAATAAAGTAACAGCTCAGTCGTTGCGCATCTCTAAAAGCAAACACAGCGGTGTTTCATTCATGAATGAAAGTGCGTTTTTGAACGAATCTAGTGAGTCAGTGATTCATGATTACCCATTCATAAAGACAGTCACTTGCTTCATTCCTGAATGATTCAGCCGTTCAAACGAATCAATTGAATGAATTCTTCAGTGATAAAATCAGTGACTTGCCGCCACCTGCTGGAAGATTTAGTTTAATTTTAACGTATAATTTCAGTTATTTAAATCATTTAATATTTCTGTATTCAAAATGTTATATTTAAAACAATAATCTCCAAATGAATTTATGAATTTAATTGCACTCATGCCACCTCTGAGCCTCATTAAACGTCTGAAAATGTACCTACAAGCCACTTTTGTGTTCTTCTGTGCCACCTCTGTAGTGCAAATAATTGTTTTATTAATACTAATTTCATGATTGGTAACTTATTTGTCTTATTCTACTTCTTATTATATTGTTTTAAATATACATTTTAAAAAGCGTATAAACATACATTTTTGAATTTGACAGATGATGCCATTAAAAAGGTAAAAAGAAAATACCCCTGCAAGTCACTTTAAGGAGTCAAATGTCACCTTTTGATACAATTTTTTATCAGAATTATTGATCAGAAGGTTCTCCTAAATGTTTTAAATTAGGAGGACAAGCGCTCCTAAAAAGAAAAGTAAGCATAGAGCCATGTGTAACAGTATATAAGATTTGTGCATGAGGTCTTAAAGAGACAACAGCCTAAATAAACCTTCTGCTGTCTTTCATTATACAGTGAAGACTATCAGTGTTATTTTACAGTTGAATAGTTTATAGTTAGACCTAACTGAAAAAATTAAAGTACTGTTAATTTAATTTGTATCTTGTTATTGTTTTTGTTTGTGCTATTGATTGTAATTAATTTATTTGATCTTGTTTTATTATTTTACTATTTATTTGTCTTTTTTATTTAAAATAAATTCAATTCTGAGTGCACGTGATTCTTGGGTGGGGAGGGGACGTGGTCCATGGGAAATAGTCCTGCCACCACCACAGCTGGAAAAAAATCCTAGAGGAAACACTGCATGCATTTAATAAAATTAGAAAAATGCATTTACAAAGGTAAAAAGAAAATGCCCCTGTAAATAACTTCAAATAAGTCAAATGTCACCTCGTATTAGGAAGGCAAATTTTTGGTCAGAATTTATTTATTACTGATTAGAAGGTGCTCCTAAATTTTTTTAATTAGGACAAGTGCTCCTAATTACAAGAAAAAAACTGCTCTTAAACTGGGTGTGTGACAGGTTTGGTTGTGGAAGCATTTTCAGTCAAAATATATATTTTTTCTTTTGCTTTAACCCCTGCATTAAGCCAAGTGAAAAATTCAGAGTAGAAAGTTTTTTTTTTTTTTTTTTGGAAACAATATGTATAACTGTTGTTTTACATTTTACAATATGTTATAAGAGGACCCTTGGTATCAAACAGTTCAAAAGTCCCTGTTATAGAAGATGAGACTTGTAAAAACTGTGTGAGTGTGTATAATTTGTTCTTTATCGTTACTTAGGCTTTCCTTCTGCCGGCCTGTGAAGCTTCAGTCACTCGCAAGGTGATCAAAGTATATAGGAAGTGGATTCTGCAGGAAAAACCTAATTTCATGGCTGAGCCTGAGACAACAAGCCAGGAGGAAGATGGAGAGGAAGAGCACCTCATCTCTGAGACGGACACTGCACACGTGCAGGTACGCTCATACACAAAATACTGTTTATGCTGATTCATTAAGTTATTTCCACTCACCTGCTCTGTATCAACCCGTCAGGTCTTGGAGACTCATGGACACAAACGATCGTCCAGTTGGGGGCGCACTTACTCCTTCAGCAGTGCCATCAGCAGAGGCTGTATGACTGAAGAACAGAATCAGGACATGAAGGCTGGCATCCAGCCCACCCTGCAGGTGCTCTCACACACACACACACACTCATGTTTGTTTCTGTGAATTGTTGGGACTTTCCATAGACTTCTATTACTTTTATACTGACCAAACGATATTTTCTATCCCCTAACCCTAAACCTACCCCTTACAGAAAACCTGTTTGCATTGTTACACTTTCAGATAAACATAATTTTATATTTTTAAAATGTTTTTACCTCGTGGGGACATTTGGTCCTCACAATGTAGCATAAACAAGTACACACACACCCTCTCATCTCAGCTTAACATGAAACGGTAATATTATCACAATTTAAAGGAAATGTTTTATATTTGAATATATTTCAGATCCTTCTGAAATCATTCTAATATGCATTGATTCTAATATGATTTGTTGTTATTATTATCTATGTTGAAAATGATTGTGCTGCTTTATATATTTATTTTTTTTGGAAACCGTGATACCATTCAAATGTTTGGAGCAAGTAAAAATAATAATAATAATAATAATAATAATAATAATAATTGTATTCAGCATAGACATAATAAACAGATAAATAATAAAAGTATAACTTATAAGACATTAACAGTGATACAATTTTTGTAATTATTTCAAATAGATGCTTTTTTAAACTTTAAAAAATAAGGAAAGGAAGAAAGAAAAGCAAAATTTCGTATCTATTTAAAGTCCCCCTGTAGTCAAAGATGGTATCCCTTAAAACACATCTTTGATCATTAAAATTACATATTTAAATGTTTTTTTCTTCTGAAAATAATTTTCTCATGCCTTAAAATAGCTTGAATGTAATTCTACACCCTTGCCTCATTTACTATGCACAGATCTATGAATACGCAAATTAGCCCCGCCTCCACTCAGTCATACCAGCCAAGGCCTCCTGATCCATGGATAATGACTGATAAAACTATGTTTTTACTAGCGGACAACTACAGCGGACACTGTAACAGTCGTTAAAGTTACTTACTTGACGATGTTGTGTCCTCAAAATGCCTTGAAGACAAGATGCAGCCAAGTTTGTGATTCTTAATTCGCGCGCGCTATTATTCAAGTTAGCGGTTCTAAATTCACGTTAAACCACAGCTTCATGGATGTTTTGTGCTGGTAATCCTATATTTTGCATGCAATCTCTATGCTATGATCTTTATGCGCGCCGCATTTGTATAAATGGAGAGAGGGATATGCTAATGATAGGAATCTATCCCTTGACGTGATTGGTTATTGAATTTTGTGACATGGCAAACCGAGGGCTGTTTCAAACCACGTTTCTGGGACTGTCATTGGGAAACTACAGTTTTAAGGAGAAAATACTCAGCAATGGTGTTGATTAATGGATTGGCGCACGGTTTGTCTAAAAGCAAATTAAAAACACCACATAGACAAATAAACAACATAAGATTTTCACTACAGGGGGACTTTAAGTTTCACAGTCAAAAAATCCTTCAGAGGTTGTTTTTGATGTTTTGGATTTTAATTATTACACTGTTGCAGCTCTGAAAAGAATTGTGAGTTTACCCTCACAAAGATTTGAGAAAAAGTAATAAGAAAAGGCAAAGCAAGTACAAATAGCAATAAATGCTACTTAAATTTAGTACAATGTTAGATAATATTTATAGTAACTTGTATTTATTTGCACATTTGTGTACAGTCAGTACAAGTAGTCATGACCAAAAAAAAAAAGAAATTGTGTTGTGCTGCTTGAACAAAAAATATGTGGGTCAAACTGACCCCCAACAAATGGAAAACAACAACAACAACAATAAAAGATGGGAATTATTACATTTCTCACATATTTTTAGTCTTTAACAAGCTACAATAGCTATAGGTATATACAGTGGGTACGGAAAGTATTCAGACCCCCTTAAATTTTTCACTCTTTGTTATATTGCAGCCATTTGCTAAAATCATTTAAGTTAATTTTTTTTCCTCATTAATGTACACACAGCACCCCATATTGACAGAAAAACACAGAATTGTTGACATCTTTGCAGATTTATTAAAAAAGAAAAACTGAAAAATGCTCAGTATTTAGTAGAAGCACCCATTTGATCTAATACAGCCATGAGTCTTTTTGGGAAAAATGCAACAAGTTTTTCACACCTGGAATTGGGGATCCTCTGCCATTCCTCCTTGCAAATCCTCTCCAGTTCTGTCAGGTTGGACGGTAAACGTTGGTGGACAGCCATTTTTAGGTCTCTCCAGAGATGCTCAATTGGGTTTAAGTCAGGGATCTGGCTGGGCCATTCAAGAACAGTCACAGAGTTGTTGTGAAGCCACTCCTTCGTTATTTTAGCTGTGTGCTTAGGGTCATTGTCTTGTTGGAAGGTAAACCTTAGTTCCAGTCTGAGGTCCTGAGCACTCTGGAGAAGGTTTTCGCCCAGGATATCCCTGTACTTGGCCGCATTCATCTTTCCCTCGATTGCAACCAGTCGTCCTGTCCCTGCAGCTGAAAAACACCCCCACAGCATGATGCTGCCACCACCATGCTTCACTGTTGGGACTGTATTGGACAGGTGCCTGGTTTTCTCCACACATACCGCTTAGAATTAAGGCCAAAAAGTTCTATCTTGGTCTCATCAGACCAGAGAATCTTATTTCTCACCATCTTGGAGTCCTTCAGGTGTTTTTTTAGCAAACTCCATGCGGGCTTTCATGTGTCTTGAACTGAGGAGAGGCTTCCGTCGGGCCACTCTGCCATAAAGCCCCGACTGGTGGAGGGCTGCAGTGATGGTTGACTTTCTACAACTTTCTCCCATCTCCCGACTGCATCTCTGGAGCTCAGCCACAGTGATCTTTGGGTTCTTCTTTACCTCTCTCACCAAGGCTCTTCTCCCCCGATAGCTCAGTTTGGCCGGACGGCCAGCTCTAGGAAGGGTTCTGGTCATCCCAAACGTCTTCCATTTAAGGATTATGGAGGCCACCGTGCTCTTAGGAACCTTAAGTGCAGCAGAAATTTTTCTGTAACCTTGGCCAGATCTGTGCCTTGCCACAATTCTGTCTCTGAGCTCTTCAGGCAATTCCTTTGACCTCATGATTCTCATTTGCTCTGACATGCACTGTGAGCTGTAAGGTCTTATATAGACAGGTGTGTGGCTTTCCTAATCAAGTCCAATCAGTATAATCAAACACAGCTGGACTCAAATGAAGGTGTAGAACCATCTCAAGGATGATCAGAAGACCCCTTTAAATGAAAAATATGCATTAATAATGCTTTAATAGGCAATACATTCTTAAGTGTCTATATAAAGGCTATCAAATTGTCATGTCCTTATTAAAAAAAAATTAGCAGTAAAAATCTGCATCTTAGCTTGATAGAAACTGTACTTCAATTGACCTTGCAACTGAACTGCAGTTAACTCTAAAGAAAATACACCATGGTTTCCACAAAACTATGAAGAGCATAAGAGACTTCTCTCAAAGACATTACCAAATCTTACTGACCACAAACTTTTGAATGAGAGTGTGTAACATGTTAAACCATCTAACATGCTGTGTAGTGTAGTTAATATGATAAAACTACTCTGATACAGTAGCGTGTGTTTGTCGTTTCTTTTCTTTTACACTTTCACAGTACTGAAAGTCATCAAACGCAGCAGACTTTACTTACATGCTTTTATGGTGAAATTGCTACTTTTATTAATTAATCCGAAGTTTATTGACCATAAACAATACACTGTCACTTTCTTCTGGGGAAAACAAGTTCATTTTCATCCCCTAAATCGAATGTCTTGTTCTACTCAGAAATATGTCACATTATGAAGCAAGAAAATGGATTGTGAATGCCATTTTGACATGTTTGCTTTGCATGTAAAGTAACACCCCTGGATATCGGGGGTTTGAATCAGAGACAGTTACAGTAGTAATGGTGTGTGTGTGTGTGTGTGTGTGTGTTTCAGGAGTGATGCAGGACTCCCAGAAGTCTACAGATGCAGCACGGTCGTTCTCCTTGAGCTGGAGGAGCTCTGGAGATCAGGTGGGCACTCAGGAACCCATGAGGTTCCGCAGTGCCACCACCACTGGAGCTCCCGCTGTGGAGAAAGCTCGCAACAACGTCAGGCAGAAAGCTTCAGGTTAGAGTTAATCTGCAGCTCTCATGAACACTCCAGATGAACACAGTCTATCTCAGATGTCTGCAGGGTGCCTTGCTTACAGCTTGCTTTGTTTTATTCACTTAATTCTAAACATATTTGCCTGAAGATGTTTTGTTTTTCCCAGATTGCATTTTATTTTTTATTTTTTCCCCTTATTCTTTTTTTTTTCTGGATTCTGTTTTTTTTTTTTTGTCACAATTCAGTTTTTCTGAATTCTGTTTTAATGGTTGAATAAAATTTTAATAATCAATTAAATTCATAAAACTTCAACAATTGAATAATTTTATTTTGGTCTTGCAAAGTGCTACACAACAGAACGTTAGTGTTAAAATTAAAACATGGAGGAAAAAATGTGATATTCCATAAAAAAAGTTTTAATCATTTTATTAATGCATACTTTTGAGAAGCGTACTGTACAATAGCAATGTATTTCTGTCACAATTTCTTTCAGCTTCCAGCAAAAATTTTCCAAATTCCAAGACATTTTGCATTATGCTGTAAATTCCATTTTTATGACTGCATTCCACAATTCCATCCGTGGGACAGCGTTTGTGGAGACAGAAATTCTTCTGTTGCTGTCATCATGTATAGAACGAGTGGAACTGAATCCATGTGACACTCTCTCTCAAACATGAGTTTGTCTCTTTGTCTCCATGCGCAGAAATATTTCCCTTTTAATCTTTCCTGGTTTGGAGATGATTGTATCTCGTTATGGTGGAGAGCTTGTTGAGTTTGGAGTAGATGCGTTTGAGACTGAAGGATGCCTCTCGCACACGCCGCCCCCAGAAACATCCTCGATTGTGTGTGCGCACATGAAACGATGTGGCTTTAAATTCCCCCCTTTTCTTTTGCCTAATTGGATTTCTCCTACATTGATCTTCAAACAGCCCAGCGTCCTCTCCTCCTCGTTAGGAGAGCCGCCTCATCAAACTGCCTGCCTGTTTTTGATAGTTTCATTAAGAGCGTAATTAATGCTCATTAATATGCATAAATAGGTAACACGGCGAAAGCGATGTAATCTAGAAAGAAAAGGCGGTAATTAAAGCGCGCCGTGGAGGGAATAATAGAGCCCTCCGCTTTCACAGCTTTTCTCCAGACGTGACATGGAGTGGCCAAAAAAACACAATGCTAATGTTTTGTCTTATCAGAGCTGGCAGAGCAAACTTGAAATAATGTGCTTCATATTTCCTTCTCGGGATTGAGTATCAAAGGACGCCATGAGCCAAACGAGAGCGCGTGTGTCCTCTGTTTCAGCTTATTTCTAGTAAAAATACCAATCGGTTGTTGGTGAAAATGCTCTTTACAGAACTAACACTTCCAGAGTTCATTCAGATTGCACTTTGATGTGATGCCTTCATGGAGTCGTGAAACAGAATCTGCATTTTAGTCTGTGTGTTTTTATTGGCGTTCACTGTTCTGTCATGACAACTCTTGGAGGGATTAGCATGGTAATGTACATGACAATGTTAATGTATTTGGTCTTGGCGGAATAGATCTGCTACGCTGCTGCTGCTGCGGCAGAGCAAGTACCGAGACATGCTACTGCCAATACATCCACAACATGCTGCTGTGATCATGTAAGAAATATTGCTGCTGCACATAAAACACATATGAATAACCCCCATATAGCATACATAAATCACCTCGTAGCAGATCTATACAGGTGGAGCTGGGGAAGGGGGAGGGTTTCTGAAGCAAGCTGCAACTGCTAAGGATTGAGCAAGACCTATCGGACTGCGCCATCTAGAGTTTCATGCCAGAACTCTGTATTTACTATTGCTCATACTTTGGCTTAGTCATTTCAACAACCCCTTGACCCTGATTACATAGACATGACTGATATATCAATGGACCATGAAGAGAGGAAAGGTGTGTAGTGTTACTGTAAGCCACCAGACTTACAGGTCACTCGTGTAGAAGATACATTCTATTTTTTTTTTTTATCGCTTGTGTCAGGCTGTCATTCTCAAGCCACCTTTCCTATCTCTGATGAAAGACCGACTGGAAGTCATTAATTTCCAGTGGAGAGTAGTACAGGAGTTGTGTCAAGTTCCGACTATATGCATATTTGGGATTTTCAGATCAGATTTGAGCTTCGTTAGCATTGAAATTTCTTAGGTTTACAGCTGTATGCAACTGCCTGACCAGATGTGACGCAGTCTAATCAGAACTAAGAGCATGAGGTGGGAATTACCGGTGTTTTTGCACTAAAAGGTTTATCTTTAAAGGGGTCATATGATGCTGCTAAAAAGAACATTATTTTGTGTATTTGGTGTAATGAAATGTGTTTATGCGGTTTAAAGTTCAAAAAACACATTATTTTCCACATACTGTACATTATTGTTTCTCCTCTATGCCCCGCCTTTTTGAAACGCGTCGATTTTTACAAAACTAATCGGTCTGAAAAAGCGATGTGTGCTCTGATTGGCCTATTTTTTATGGAATATTGTTTTGTTTACCATAAGTGATTTATCTGTGCACATTATCATTACTATTTTTTAAAGTCATGTGCTCATCTTTAATCAAAATAATAAAATTTTAATTTAAATAATTTTCCTGTGAGCATGGGACAAGAACCTCACCCCTCCAGCAACTTATCACACACAGGATATTGCAGCAATTCGCAAATGACAATGATCCCAATGGACAAAATCAAGTCCCATCCTTGATAATTTTTCTGTTTTTATAAGCCATTTTTCACAATACAGAAAAAAAAGATAATCACAACTTGCATGCTGATTCTAAACAATATTTCTATAAAATTGACTTTTGTGAATAATTAATTATATTTATTTTTTAATTCCTAAATAATAATTTCCATCGATTAGGCATAGAAAAATCTACAGTGTTCTCTTTTTCAGATGTATTGTTTTGTGTGGATATATTCATACGTTCATTATTCATTTTATAATGATGAATCAAAGCAGGGTAATGGCTAAGATAGTGAAAAGGCTGTGCAATATTGTGGTTCCTAATGTTGTCAGCACCCTAGCCATTTTGTTACTCTCATTTGGTTCTTGTATGCATTTGTTTTGGACCTTTTTATGTTTGTGAATCTGAGAAACGCGACTGTAGGCATAATTGTATTTTCCATCATTGATTTGCTTAAATCCCACTTGATTTCAGTTTCAAAGTATTATCTGCATTTCCAAAACATCAATAGACAAAAAAAAAAAAAACACTCAATGACAACCTCTTTTGTGTTACTGCAGGGTTGGGAACAACATGCTGTTCATTTAAAGCTGAAGTGTGTCATTTTTGAGGATTTTAAAATACTGTCTCCTATTCCAGTTCAAAATGCAGAGACATTTCGAAGTAAGCTAATTAATAGGTGCTTTTAAACAAACTAGGGATGTTCATTTCGGTTATTTAACCGATGCTCGTTAACCGATTATTAACCGTTAACCGACAAGATTATTTTAAATTAGATCTGAATTAAATTAGACAGGATAAGTGTCTGTGACCCATTAAAAATACTAACATGTGTTTCCCGGGGATTAATTTTACATCCGAAAAATGCAGCAAACAACAGAACATGGGTTTTTTTTTTTTAAACGCAACTTTTTTATATACGCGTAGCGTATTTTAACCATGCAGCAAACCTTTTTAAATATTTTGATAAATTACTGGGAAAAAAATAATTAATTGACTTTTTAAACCGTTTAACTGATTGTATTAATCGGTCAAAAATTCTTACGGTCGGTTAACGGTTAACCGGTTAAAATGAACATCCCTAAAACAAACCATCAGTCTGAGCAGTGTTGACGTATTTTTGCAGGCTGACCCATAAGCCAGCATCACCCTGGTTCCCTTCACAAAAACCAATAGGATTTTCCATTGGCTTTTGGATTATTGCAGAAAATAAGTTCTGTGACCAACAAAAGGTTTTGTTCTTCAGAATAATCTTTACAAATGAACACAACTTTACGAATTCTGAAGCCTAAATATTGGCTCAGCCAGAGGTGTGAGTTTGCTGGCACAGAAATGACACGCTTCACCTTTAATAAATTGTCTTGCTATTACCACAGCTGTAGAATGCAACTGATCCTTTTCCCCGTCTCTCTCTCTGACTGTCTGTCTGTCTCTATCTCTCTCTCCCCTGCGCTCTCCTTCGCTGCTTCTGTGGGCAGCAAAGCGAAGTCAATCTATCAGCAACTGTGTGCATCTTTGTGAGGCTTTGCCGGCCACTAAGAGTGTGCCCATGCTGCTCCACACTGTCAGCTCTTTCTTACCCGGTATCTCTCACAACTCTCACTGCTCTCACAGACTCTCAGGTAACTTCCTGTTTCCTGTCTCCGGCACGGAACTTTCATTTCCCGTTTTCTATCTTGCCGTCATCTGCTTTCATTTAAGATGTAGTATAGCCAGGAAAAGGCAGATAATCCAGTGTATAAATGCTTTGTTTTTACAAGGATACTTCTATTTCCTTTCATTCCAGACCGCCAGAGGAAGTGCAGAGAGCACTAATGGAAACACTCGCTCGCTTCATTCACGCTCCAAGAACTGAATTAAAGAGTATCTCTAGACGCATGTGGAGCATCTACTTGGAACTTTAGTGTGTTTGTAAGAGCATGCAAACTTTGTAGACAGTCAATGAGATTGAAACCCTCACGAGCCAGATGGAAAGTGTTTAAGTGCACTATATAACTTATTTTACTCGATTCTCTATCATCGTGCAAATTCAGAAGGTGTTTTCCATTAGTGCCCTCAGAACTGCTTGTGGCAAACTTCCACTTAATTATTAAAGCACAGTTTATAATCAGATTTTCAGCATGCATGTTTGCCCTGTTAGTATGAAAATGGCCCATGAATAGAAAGTTTTTCTTGTGAGTTCTGGTAAGCATGGTGATTGAGTCAGGTGTGTGTGTGTGTGTGTTTGTCCACTAGACGTGGAGGAGTGTCAGCTGTCTGAATATGAGATGGGGGATGGAGACAGTCCTCTGCCCCGCAGCAGTAGCACCTCTGACATCACACAGCAGATCAATGACACCTTCCCAGGTACCCACACAATCACACACATTACACTCAGTAATAGACTGATGACTGCAGGGGTGTACAAATAAAGTTTGTTGCTGAATAGTACTTTTGACATACGATACAGTATGTGTTTAATATGATGTAGAATCACATGAATCTCGTCACTTCTTCAGTACTTTCAGAAAAACAAAAAAACAGTGCCAGCAAAATCTCAGGGGACTGATTTTTACAATCTAAAATGACTGAGGGGCCGTTCACACAACAACGTTTTCAGCCAAAAACGGGAAACTTTTTATGTGTTTTGCCTGTTCGTTTACACGACAACGGCGTTTTGGGGACTGAAAACGCATATTTTTGAAAACGGGTTTCAAAGTGCAAGTTTTTGAAAACGCCAACGTTATCGTTTCCCAAAACGGGAATCTTTGAAAATGGTGACGTCATGTGCGTGTGTAGTACGTGTTAGGTATGTAGACATGCGCAGTATGTGTCGATTTTAAAGGCAAGCGCGAACAAACATACACAACAATGGCCGAGTACATGGTACTGTTGTTGCTGCTCAAGAGTTTGCTAACGCTTCTTCAGCAAAGTGTGGATTTACTTCACCAATATTACAACCAACAG